AAAGACGCTGAATGATAAATGACTCGTTTGTTAAATAAAGCGCGATTCGCCTTAACTTTCAAATAGAGATGTTCAATTTTGCAAGTTTGATTCACTACAAGTAGCGCATCGTTCGATGGTAGCACGTCAGAGGTAGGCAAGCGCAAAACGAGTTGACAAGGGTTCATTGTTCCGAGGCGATCACAAAGCCATCAGTCGATTTTATTTGATGATCAGGCCCGAAGGGAAGAAAGGAAATTGTGTTGCCAGAAGTAACGTTCGTCGAGGATCGTAAAGAAGAATAAAGAGGTTAACTGTCGCACCTAAAAATATCTCCATTCCGCCTTCGCACCCAGACTTCCATTCGCTGCACCTCGGATCCCCGTCTTTCACATTTGACAGCATCGTTTGGTAATGAACTTTGGGATGCAATAGAACCGGCATGTGAAAGCATTTAGAATAACAACTGATATTGCTCCGATATCTCTCGATGCAGCAAACTGCAATCTATCAAAATTATATTTTGTTAATTAAAATATATTGAAGTGATAAACATTATTATATAGATATATACGGCTTCAAGATTTATTTGCTTTGTTATAAATAATATAATTAAAGAAAGTGAATCTCTGTAATTTTCTCGAACATTAGACTTAATATAATCAGTCCGCGTAAACAACAATTACAAACAAAAAGAAGTCTCATTAAAATGTAAAATACATGTCGACTGCATAAGTCACCGTGTTAGCGTATTTCTGCTAATTCTATCACTTTAAAAAAAAAAGAGTCGCTTTTACATCGCTGGCACAAAGACGAAACGTGTACTTATGTTGTTAAACCGGCGTAATTCGAGCAAGCCGAAACTTTCGCAAAAATAAAGAGGAAAAACGAAAGAGAGGAACTAAATAAACGTTGTATGTACATACAAGTGAAACTTCATGAGAAGACTTCCCCTCGGTGAAGACCGGTTACGTACTACATGATGTTGAGCGACTTCAATGAACGGACGAAACGGACAGGAGAAGTCGAGTGCGAGATCTTCGAGATACTACAACCATACGCGGATTACACCCTAATTTGGTTTATTGCGATGCTAATGATCGCGACGTAAATGTATTTTTTTTTTGCTCCTTTTAGGTTCGGATCAGCGTTAGCGCCTTCATCAACCCTGCCTTTGGGATATATAGCGCATATCGGAATGTAGCTTAGGTTGCAGGTTGTAATTTATGATCCTATTTCGTCCTATTCGTTCAATCTGCAATAACTCCCCAACCGCAATCGAGCCCGTAACCCGTAGTGTGATTACGGCTTTAACGTTGCCAAGAACGGCAATAAGCCAAGAAAATGTATTGAACAATAGTAGCCTTTTATAATTGAAGATTTACTCGCGAATGCTTTCAGCTCGGACGATAGATAAATGTAAGATTACGTCTCAATTTCCTGATCGATTACGCAATAAATTACGCAGTTTGATCTTCAAGAAGGAGCTCGGCCGTTTATCAGCGACCCGGTAACATCGTTGCGCTCGTCTTCCCAGAAACTGTGTCCCATACGTCCTCGAGCATATTAGAAACGGGGTAAAAGCACGCCGAATGCTCCCACGTCGGGCCAGGAGAGACCGCGGTTCGTTGACCCGCGACCACGTGGAGTAGCACGTGCATTTGCGAGAGATTTCGCGCGCGGTGCCGCGGTGAACGATCGTTAAGCGACTATCGCTTGGCTTGACTCGCGCGTTGGGAGCAAGGAACTGCTAATGCGACTGACGATCGTTAGAAATCTTTCACGTTTCTTGCGCCACCAGGCATTCGCCTGGCCTAATCGCTCGTTAGACAAGTCACGTGCTGCATATGCCACGCTGAATTCAACCCTACACTGACTCCGACGATAGCACGACGACTACGACGACGGTGACGTACCGCGATACGCTCGTTTACATCTGCGCGAATATCTCGATCTCTGCTCTTTCGTGGGATTACTTACTTATGCTCCTTTGCTCCGTTCTCGCAGCATTCGATGGAAAATAAATCCATGATACTGACGATCCGAGCATTAATGAATTTCAATAATTATTGAAAAATATGAAGTATATTTATTAACAGAGAGGAGTCTCTACACGTTATTTTGAAATCTAAAACGAAATTTCTCTTCTTAATGAGAAATCTTAATGAGGAAAAGAGCACGCTATCTATAAAGATGAGATTTTAATATTTTCTCTTTTATCTTCCATAGGCTATAGCGACAAAACTTTATTCGGCATGCGACAAATTAAAAAGAAAAATATATAGTTCTTGAAGAAATGGGCTGTTTTAGGTTTATTCTAGTAATGAAATATATTGTTGTACAATTAAGAATGTAAAAGGAAATAAAAAGAAGTATTTTTCCCAAATATTAAAAAGAAATTTAACAGTTCAGTGCGGGAGGGCCGAACATCATTATTGCACGCGGTAGATTTATACAGAAATATTTGCTTGCTGTTCTCAGCAAAACATAGCAAAACATAGCAACGTAGAAAATCAGTTTTATGCGGGGTCTACAATGCGAGTCGTGAGGAAATGGACCAATCACAATCGAATTTGAGAAGAATAATCGACTGTGATTGATCAATTCTTACGACTCACGACTTTAACGACTCGCATTGTAGACCTAGCATTATACATGAAGCTCAAAAATCGAAAATCATTATTTCAACAAACATGAAACAATTCCAAATTTTATCACTGAGAATTAACATTTTGGATTACATGATGCAAACCAACTATAAGTAGTAATCTGGTCTTCGTGGGAGGTATTGATGAGAAAGAACTTGTTCGGTTCAGGAAAGGAGAAGGCAGAAAGAATGAGCAAGATTAACAACGGACAAAAGCCATTCAGTTGTAGAGCCATTCAGTTACGCAGTCGCAACAAAAGGGAATGATTTGCGGAAAAAACCATAAAAGACAAGGAGAAGCTATGAAGTTTCCGTCGTTAGACGGTCGTAAAATTTTCAGCTCCCCGTAGCGAACGTCAAAGAGTCATTCTGGTTCGCTTGCGGTTCCAAGAATTCCGGTTAGAATTTAGGCTATCAGAATCTGGAACGCCTCGGTCGTTGGCCTTGCCTTCGATTCCCAGCCTGCGAGATTTTCGGGCGCGACTCTGCGTATGCGGCGTGTTTGTATGCCCGTATGTTAAAACGGAGCTTTTATCTAATGAACGTCTAGACCGGTTCGCGAGCCGATCGTGCGGACGTTCGCGAATCACGCGACAATTTAGTCTCAGACCCGTTGAATGTGCGGAAGGAGAAGACGGAGAAACGGCGATGTTCGCTTTAGCGACGTACAAGCCACGGTACCATTAGAAATTTTCGATTACTCTGATTCCCCTATATCTAGTATCATTTTTGCTTTCTAGATAAAGATAAATAAAATTAACATTTGTTATAAGTCAATAAACAACAAGTTTGTTAATGTATATACAAGTTATATTAAATAATAACGAAATACAGAAAAGATTTCCAGAACAGATGCAAAATTAGAGATATGAGAGATGTAGTGTGTAAACGTCTTTACTTACCTGTTTAGTATTCAGTAAACTTCGTTTCTGTTTCTAAATCATATTTTTATCTATTTGAAAATGTCCAGCATCGTATTAAATAAAAGTCAAATATATATTCTTGAATTAAATGTGTAGCATGTATAACACTGCAATAATTATTACAATTGAATATATTGACAAGTGGTAAAGAAAATCGATAATATTTCGACTGCACCGACTCTTTAAATATGAAATAATTTTTCAAATTAAAATTAACGATTGATGTGCACTAAAACTATTTACAGGCATCATTGACTCGCGCAGATCGCATTTTACTCGAATATTTAATTTCCTGTAATTATCTATGAATACTGCATTTTGAATAGCGTTGGCTTGCTTTATGTGAGAATAACGTTCTAATTTTTGTGTTCTCTAATAATTCTAACTCGTAACAGAGTGGCTATTTTAGATGTGTACATTTACGTGTATCGCAATCATTAATCATGCCGTTTTCGTGCATCGACGCGCGACGGCTACAAAGTCGCTATCGTTAATTTCACGCTGTATATTATAATTACACGCCTTTTTTTCTCGCCTCAGATGTGCCCGAGTGAAGACGGAGGCTGCGGACGGGCCTCGGACGCGCAGCGGAGACGGAGGGGCCCGCGGAGGGAAAGGCATGGAACGATTCGGAGATAATATACCGATGTACTGAATTACGCGGCCGGCTACCGAATCATTTTGACCCACATCCGTGAATCGTCGTTGCCTCGAGGCCGGAGATCCGAGGCGCCTTCTTCTCGGCGTTACTTTATCGAATCTGCCGTGCTGCGTTTTCAGAACGGCGATAAATAATCCGCCGAGCGAGTCGAAGAAGAAAAATCATGCCGTATATTTATCTTCTAATTAATTTCTTTTAAAAAAATTTAAATCAAAGTTTAATCACCAAATTATCTAATTCAAATATGTGCTACATGTATAAGCAAAAGTTAATTTGAAATATATCTTTATAGAAAAAAGTATTTTATATAAACTTCTTTTGTGCATATCGAGAGATAGTTGAAGGTAAGACTTAATTTGTATTTGCTTCGTGTTTGCGTAGCTTCCTTTATGCAAATACATCGTCTCATTGTACACCACAATAACGTGATAATTCTGCCGGAACTTGCCATGAGACCTGTTTTCTGGCCGCTATTGGGTCGCAACAGTCAGCGGGAAGATAAGCTGTGCAATTTATATTCAAGCTGTGCCCGCGATTATAATTTGTATTTGCGACTTAAATAGTTATCAAGAAGACAAGCAATACGAATATGACGATGATTATTATTGATGTTGCTGATCACAGGCGCCGAAGGTAATATATAGTACTAAAGAGATTGAACTGAAAAAAAAAACCGAGAAAAGATGTTCACATTCCGGATTTGCACACTTCTTATTTCACAAACCCTTTGAGATAATTTCCTTATTTGCATATCTGGTGTTTAAAAAATTCCGCTAGTGAGCGTGCTATAATGGATAAGGGTTTCGTATATAAGGAAAGGAAAGGTAGAGTTGACTTGCAGTGTCAGACTAACAATAAGTGGCGCTCTAGTTCAGGATAAAGATAGACAGACAATGGTCTCAACGCGAATAATCTTGTTGTTCGTAGCGATCGGCGTTAGTTCAGGATTGCCTATAAGTCATCGTGGGTCCCATGGCCATCCTATACCGCCTGAGCCACGGTTTAATGGAGTTTTCGACAGCGATTACAATCACGAGGAAATTGGTAATTAAATTTCTGATGATAATTCCAGTTTTGACAGATTTGCAGCTATTCAAAATTTAAAATAAAAATTGATTTTAGTCTATGGTGTTACTCGCAATAGGCGTAGTAATTAAAAAATGCTTCGTTAAAATCTGTTGCTACTTCCTCTTTTTCTCTCAGCTAGTAACATAAAATATTGGAGTCCGAATGATCTACAAAATGTTTGGGAATTAAGCGGTTTACATGAAGGTGATATCATGATACATCCCGATAGCCCATCGTGGAAAAATGGTCTTCTAGATGCTACAGCACGATGGCCTGGCGGTGTCGTGCCCTATTTCATACAAGAAGATGACTTTGGTAATTCTACATCTTCCTTTACATAATCACGATAACAAATAGCGTTAGCATAAGTATTAATATTATATACAGATGTCATTCATTACATTTAAATTTACAAGAGAGTTTGCTATCGTTAATTAACTTCTATCTTAAATTATTTGCATCGTTATCTCTTTCCGAAAGTAGAACTAGAAAGAAACAAAGAAACTCGTTTAAACTGAGACTGAACTATGTTGTTGAAATCAACTGTTAGTTCGTTATACATATATACTTCAAAACTTAGTCTTGATTCGGAAGATTCAATTTTTGTATAAGAATCATTAATACTTATAGATCGGGATCAAATCGAACTAATCAAAGAAGCCATGCAGGAGTATCATGAGAGAACATGCTTACGTTTTCGACCTTACAAGGATACTGACGATGATTACGTGACGATACAGGCGAAAAAGTCGGGCTGCTGGTCCTTGGTAGGTCGTCACGGTCACGGACAGGTGTTGAATCTACAGAATCCGGGATGCGTTCATCACGGTGTTGTCGTGCACGAGCTCATGCATGCCTTAGGCTTTTACCATCAGCAGAGCGCCGCGGACCGAGACGAGTGGGTCACCATACATTGGGAGAACATCAAGTCGGGTACGAACAGCTAATAATATTAATATTGTGTTTGTGTTAATAATAATTTACATTGATTTCTTATATCTTTTGTATAGAAGATCGTGTATTTATTTATTACTGTAATAATTTTTTAAGGATATTTAAAATAATCTTTGAACGCCATTTGTTGAATACTTGAATGCTATTCGCATCCGAGTCAAAATGATGTCAACTAATGTGTTCTTAGAATGGATGCTCTTGTACGATGCACGAATAAAATTTTAATGAACTTTTGCAGGTAGGGAGCATAATTTCAACAAGTATGACAATCGCACTGTCACCGATTATGGTATCGCCTATGATTACAAGAGTGTCATGCACTATAGCTCCCACGCATTCTCTAGAAATGGAGAACCTACCATTACGCCGAAGGTAATGATCGTGCGGCACTCGCAATATTCCTATTGATTTCGGTTTGTTCTCAATGTTTATACTATTTCGCAGAAAGAGAAGGTGCAACTTGGTCAACGAGACGGACTCAGCAAAAAGGACGTGGCTAAAGTACAAGCAATGTATAAAGAGCAATGTGGCGATCGTAAACCAGAAGGAAACGGCGGCAATTCTTCTGATTCTTCCGAAGAAATTTCTATAGGATGGCTATTCAATTAAAAATTCACGTTTTTAAATAATCGAATTCTAAAATGTATAATAAAGCGTACCAACAAATATCTATATAGTATGTTTCCATGTTTTTAGATTAAAATAAATTTATTAATTTATAAGTCAATTTATAAAAATATCACATACAATTATACTTAATTTCTTAAGTATAATTATCAGTCTGTCCAAAAATAAAATATTTAATCTTCAAGCATCATAAGACTTGTCGAGCAACAATAGCACTGCAAACTGGTCCCTAACAATCTCTGCTTATTTCATCCTATAACATTCAGCCGACAAAGTTTTCCTAATTGTAATACGTTAACTGTTTCAATTCATTTACAGCATCCTCTGCCGCCTAAAAATAATATTTATGTTGTATTATACAAAATCGTATAAAAATACTGTATCAATAATTAACTTACGCGTCGGACATATTCATCTTCATCCTTGATTAAGCCTTCCATGAGATTTCTGAGTGATTTGTTCCAGACCTGTTGTAACGCTCTGCAGCAAAATCTACCCAACAATCTGATCATAGTACATGTCCTTGCTCGTAAGACAGTTTGTCGATGACTGAGAAGTTTATTGAGCTGTTCCACTGACGCTCCTTCAAAAAATTTCAAATATGTAAATTCATTACAAATACGATGTAAAATAGAAAATTTACAATTTCGGCTCACCGGGAGTTTTTGTACGCAGAACAACTTGTTCCACAAGCTCGGCATTCTCAGGTTGAGATCGTAGAACGTTATTTAAAATAGCGATGAGATCTGCAACGACCCTTGCCTTCCTTTTTTCTAACGTTAGTAGTTGCTGTAGAAGTGGCATCCCATTCACAATGTAAATAGCGTCGCAAAATTGCATGAGAAATTGATTCTCAATATAAACTAATCTACAAAGAACTAGCATCGCGCATTCGAGTGCTTGAAGTTCATCGGCGGATAAAGAAGATGCTGATCTCGTTCCCACGTTCACTATCGCATTCAACTCGTTATCGGAACGTTCCGACATCAACAGTTTGATGGCATAAACGAGATTTGGTACTACTCTCACATCTAAATAAACTCGTTCGATTTTCTTAAGATTTTCTTTGCTGACTGATACGGTGAATGGTAATGATAATAAACAAGTTACATATTCGACAACTCGGCAACCGGCTGCTGGATTTCTTAAAGGGGAAACAAACACCGAGACACAATTTTGTTGCAACAACGAGTCAATTTCACCCTCCATAACTTCTTCCATCGATCTTTGTAAAAATGCGATCCATTCTTCGTTTTCGATAGGCTTTTCCACTGCCTTCGGGTCCCAATCTGGCAATCTCGTGTGTTTTTCAGTCAGGTTTCTTTCACCGAATTCTTGTTCATAATCCATGCTCAAGCAACTTTGCTTGCGATCACCATCACCATGTACAATTTGCTCTACGTGCGTAGATTTTTCAATTTGTTGACCTACATTGATTCCATCACCTTGAGCATTAGTATGATACATTTCCTCATTCAATTGTCGTATGGAATGGCTATCATCCGTTTGCGTTTGAACAGGTTTCGAGTGATCGTCTAGTATTGGGAAATTATGTTGTACGTCTGCATTATGCGGACAGTCACTCTGACATAAAGCGTGATTTGCAGCTAAAAGATCACTTCTCAAAGATGCCCTGAGACTGAGATTTCCTAAGAGTACATCAATACTAGCGCTAGAATCAGTGCCACTTGGCTCACTACGACGTAATGCCTGACAGTGGTTTATCATATGATGGCAATATGCAGGAGACATTAGATAACCCGGTTGTGAAATACATGTTCGTTGCTGATACTCATAATGTCTTCTCTCCTGTTCTTGTAATTTTTTGATTGTTTTCTTCACAAATCTATACAAAAAATTTTAATTATTTGTATGTATACATACATGCTTTTAAAAAGAAACAATTAAAATCAATACTATACTTGGATTTATTTGCAGTACGCATGGCTAAACGCTCTAATTGTTCTTGCTTTGCTCTTGCTTGACTTGCAGATAATGGATTTGTAAATGGAGTAGATACGGTGCCACCTACTATTATTATTCGATCCTTGACAAACGGATGTTGGAGAAGATCGGGCCAAGTTAACCGCTGAGAAGGATCTTTCTGAAGTAATCCCTGAAATTAAAATTATGAATAAATTTATTAACAAAAAAATCAACACTTAATAAGCTAAGCTATGTAAGAAAGTAAACGGTCAAAATACGACTAAAATATTGGCGAGTAAGGATAATGGCCGTTGACCTTTTTACATATAACAGCTAACTTGAAATTATGATAATTTATTATTATATAATTCAAACAATAATATAGTAATACATCTTTTCACAAATTAATAAACATCTTTACATGTACAATATACAATATACGATTGCAAAAGTATTAATATCACAATAAATATCTTTACCTCTAGGAAGCTTTTGCAGGTTGGAGAAATAAAGTCTGGCCACTTAATTTTTTCAAATTTGATCAACTTAACCAAATGCAGTATTGAATTAGTTTGAAATGGAGGCGCACCGACGACCAACTCATACACGATGCAGCCTAATGACCTTTTTAGAAATTATGAAATTAATTTCAAGATATATTTCCTATATAAATAAATCATAAATCTTATTTATATACTATATATATCCACATAAATATTTTAAATATATATATATATATATATATATATATATATATATTTAAAAAAAAATATATATATATATATATAATATATATATATATTTAAAATATTTATGTGGTTGTACATTTACCATAAATCAGCGTTGTGATCATAGGGGTATTCGTCCATGAGTTCTGGTGCCATGTACAATGGCGTGCCTTTGATTGACGTAAGTACATGAGTACCAGTACTCATATTACGAGCAAATCCAAAATCACATAGTTTAGCTATGCCATTCGCTTCTAAGAGAACATTTTGTGGTTTGAGATCTCTAAATAACATTAATATAATTATTATAATTGCATATTATAAGCCATTCTTTGTCTTAGCTTAGATACAAACCTGTGCATCACCCGATTTGAATGCAGATAATAAAGTGCAGATACTAGATCACAAGCTATTACTTGTGCTCTTTCCTCAGACAATCTACCTCCTTTGGCCAGTATGTCATATAATTCCTTATCTGCGTATTCTGTCACAACCACGATCTAAATCAGAAATTTTACAGAATATCTAGAAAGGTGTCTTACTTATAAACATAATTCTTTCCAAAAATCCGACATACTTCATTTTCTGTTTCGAATGAATCTATCATCTGCACGATATTTGGATGCTGCAGATAACGTTGAATCTCACACTCTTGACGCAGACTCTTGAGATCTTTGTCTGATCTGCCACACTGTGGAACAAGCATATCGGCGCGTTAGTCATGCAGCAAAACAAGTTATTTATAAATCTCTCTTGTTGTTTCATAGCCATTCATACCTTCCTTATCATTTTGAAAGCCACAATTTCACCATCTGAACGTTTTCTAGCTTTATACACTTGTCCAAAGGATCCCTCTCCGATGTGCTTCAAAATCTCGTACTTTTTCATCTTGAAGCTCTCGTATTTCTTCATTTTGTTGAAGTGCTGAAGATAAATGTCAAAAAATGTGCTTTTTGTATTATATTACGGTGTGCGCATGCAACAAAACGGAAACTTCACAACGCGTCAAATATAAATAACTAAATGCAAGCGTCCATTATATATGTAGTGAAAGCGGGAACGAAAAGACAGCTGTTTGGTCCGCGGGATGTAAGATGTAACGTAGCTTGAAATTCTCTGTGTACTAACGCCATCTTAGCAAACGTTGTGATTGAGGCAAAGCAGTAACTCAAGGTAGAAGAGTATTTGATGATAATAAAGAAATATAATTATTAAAAAAAAATACGATCAGAATAATTTCAATTATAAAAAATAAATAAAGCCTATGTTTGTTTATTCATCTTATCATAAATATGTTAAGACATTTCTAAATATTATTGTTACTTTCCATTTATATTAAAATATTAAACTTTATCGAAATTGTATTGTTCTATATATGTGTATTGAATATACATAAAAATAATAATAATATAATATTGATAATATTGAATAATATTGATTCGCTAGAATTGAAAAATTTTTTTGAAAACGAAAAATACAGATAATTTATGTTAGAAGAATATTTTTCAATAAGACACACTTAATTGCTTCTGCATAATAATTCCTATCGCCGTAACAAATTAATTATACGGTGTTAAAAGATTTAACGAGAATAAAAATAAATAGAATCGTGATGGAATAATGCTTTTGTTACGCGCGACCATAACTTTTTTCTTACGATGAAACATATTCTTATATCTCGAACGTGTTACTCACCATTGGACCACCAATGAAAAGAATTCTAATACATCAACTGCGATATACGCCGGATCAGTTTTAATGTAATTATATTTTCACACTAGCGATTAGTCAGTCCATGTTTGTAGTTCGCCCAAGAAAGATGCAGGAAGCTCGATATCTTTGTAGCTCGTTTCCTTTAGCATTCCTTTTACTAGGTAGCTGGTTTGTCACGAACATTAATACATATCCGACGCAGCTTATCAATTCTTGGACAAGATCGCCACCAATATCGCTGAAACTGATGAAAACAAGGGAGACCACTTCTGGGACAACTATTAGCTATAAACGTGAGTAAAGAAATGAAGTTTATTCCTCGATTGTGCTTCGAGAACATGCAGATTTGTGTCTAGAAAATGCCATGAAGAAATCTAAATAAAGATAACTTAAAAGTACTCTGATATTTTATAAATATAATATTATGTATTCACAGTTGATTCATGGTCTCAGTATGATAATCCGGAAGAAGGTGCAGAACGAGAAGGCGATATATATCAGACGTCGAAAGCGAGGAAAACTATTACGAAGGATACAACTTTATTATGGCCTAATGGTATCGTGAATTATTACGTTCATTCGTCCATAGGTAAGCCGTTTCTGCAATTCTAAATCGAAACAGTGACTTATGTAACTACCTAAAGACGAGCTCACAAATAATGGAATATTTTATGTATACATTCCACTCAAAATCAAATATATTTAAGAATTGCTTGTCAGGCCTAAATATTTAAGGATTTATTATCTGCTCTAGCTAATAAACCAAAGAAACTTGCTATGCTGGAGGATGCGTTACGTACCATAATGTCAAAGACATGCATTAAATTCCTGCGCATTAAAGAATATGCAAAGCTCCCAGCAAATAGTTGGGTCAATATCACGGGTCATCAGAAGGGTTGCTTCTCTGAATTAGGACGTAATGCATACGGACCTACTTCTTTAAACCTAGACGTGAACTTGTGCCTTCACACAATTGGACACACGATACACGAGACGTTGCATACCCTAGGTGTATATCATGAGCATATGAGGCCAGATCGAGACAAATACATTACTATAATATGGGAAAATATAAAAAAAGGTAATCAATGCAACATGTGTGCTAATAACAAACTGAAAAGAGGACTAACAAAAGATTCTTACAGAAGATGTATTCAATTTCCGTATGTTAAATAATAATACCGTAACCGATTATGGATTACCATATGACTATGACAGCATAATGCATTATTCTATGACGGCGTTTTCCACTAATAGGTCGCTTCCTACGATAATACCTACGGTAATATCAATTTTTAGATACAATATCGAAGATACTTCAAAAACTAAATATAACTTTGTATATACTCAATACTAAGAATCAAATATAATACTTATTATATTTGATTCTTAATATTAAGCAATATATAATTCTATTGATTGAATCAATAATAAAATTCTGCTTTTACAGTCGTCTTATGTGGAGATTGGCCAAAGAAGTCATTTGTCGCATTACGATATACAAAAATTGCTAATTGCTTATAACTGCACTGCCGTCGGTACTAAATTGGAAAATAACAAGAAACTCAATTTGGAGAAACCTAAGAAACTTCCTAATCGTAGAAAATTACCGCAACCACAGTCGTTGAATAAAACAGTCATTGAAACAGAAGTGAAATCACATACGCCGACAATCGTTATACATAATTCAATATTAAACAAATTAGATGATAAGAATGCTGATTTAGGAAAGTCAATGGATAGACTTAATCAAGTAGCTTTTCTTAGATCTGTATATCCTATTCAACCCAATTACTATCCTGTGCCCCTGAGCCCAATATACCTGTACATAAATCTTCATTTTTACTTGAATAAGAAATGAATAAGAAAATATATATTGCAAGATAAACAGAATGTTTAAAGTTACAAAAATAAATTTAATTGATGCTAATGAAGAATATATATACATTTCACAAAGTAAATTATAATAATACTAGAGTTGTGTTATTAACTGTGATAATTATTAACTTCAGATACACAAATCTTTAAACAGATCCCATTTTTGTCTTTACTCTTATAATTAGTTTGCAATTAAAGTCAATACTCTTTACTTCTATCTTTTCGTTTATGATCACTATGCTTTGAATAATGTCTCTCCGATGATTTATCGCGATCTCGAGATTTATGTTTCTCTGATGATTTATCACGATCTCTAGATTTATGCTTCTGTTCGTAGTATTTATCTTTACTTCGACGTTTGTCCTTTTTATGTGACTTCCGCTCTCTCGAACGTGACGACTTCCTATATTCATGTCTGTGCTTTCTTTCCGTTGCATCTGAATATCTTTCCTGTTTGTCTCGATCTCTTGATCGGTGATAACTTCTATCTTCTGAATGGTCTCTTTTTTGATTATCTCTTTGCTTCTTATGGTGATGACCGTTCCTTTCTCCAGAATTATAGTCATTATAGTCTCGGGAAGGAGGATCTTTACTAAGAAATACTTTGTTTAAACGTTCTGTTCTATCTTGCATCTTTTCATAGCTTGTATCATCTGTTTTAGTATTCCGAACGTCTGTTACACGTCCAGAATTACTTTCTCCGGAGATATAATCTACATACATCTCCATTTGTTGATCAATCACTTCTCTGAGAATTTCAGTATGAGACTTTTTATTTGTATGAACGCCTCTATGCTTTGCTCTACGTCTCTTAAAGTTGCGCTCTCGTATCAACAATTCCAGAAAAGACAATTCTTTGTCTCCTTTTTGTTGTGCCTCCCTGAAAAATAAATTTAAAAATATTTATAAATTACAAAAAAACAATAACATATATAATATATAACATAAACATACTACTATACGTTACACGTATAATTATAAATATTACATTTATTCATTATAAATTTATATCTATTCATTAAACTCACAGATTATTAATATTTGCAATATCCTCTCCAATGTCTGGCTTGGCGGTATTAGCGATGACATAGTCATACAGCGCTCTCCTCTCATCGCTGGTGAAATCTATGATAACCCTATCAGATGTACGCGGTACTAACCGCTCACCCATACCTATTATCAGTGTTAAGAATTCACATTTTTCGTAGTTATAACATGGTTATAATATAATCATAAAAGTCGAAACATAATTAAAAATTTCTTGCAATTTCAAAATAATAGCTGTGCAGTTCTTTTCAATTGCATACTAAATAGGAAAATTACAATTGTTAGATCGCAAATGTTATAATGTACCCATTTTGTCTTTATGTGACTATAAAATATTGAATAAAGGATATGTAAAAGGATATATTGATTCTGCGGCAAGTATAACATTCACAACTCGCTGGAAAAAATTCCATTGTCATTTAACAGGCATAAGAACGCACATAGTCGTTACGTTTTTTACTAACCAGTTTTCATCGTTGGATTTTGTTCTTTGGCCTTCCTGAGAACTTGTTCTTGCAGCTCCTCGTCTGGAACAGACATTTCATATAAAGATGTTTCATAGAATATCTCTAGAAAAGTTATAAAGCACTCGTCCTAAGAAGCTCGTCCCTTACCAAATTTTATACAGAACGGTGAATCAGCTGGTAAAGTTGGCTCTGATAAAGGAACATCTAGCTTTCCGTAACCCTCAGCTTTCCATTGACAAGAGGCAAGATGGTCATTGAGAGAGCTTTCCGTTAGCCGGTGGGACGAATCATACGGACACGTGAGATACTCCGTATCCTATACAAACGCAATAGTTCCGTTAAAATCAACATATCTGAGTCAACAAGTTCTGATTACGCTTACCACGTTCGTCACGCTCTCCATCGTCCAGCCGAGGGTTCCAACGATGCTGGCGATATCCTCGTTAACCGCATCGGTGAAGCTTCGCAGTTCCTCCAGTTGCTGCTCACGAGAGTCACTCATATTTTTTAACGTGCTGATTTCAACACTGTTTCGCACAGAATTCATCGAATCATCAATTCATCTTGATTCACGCCTGGACCCGCTTGTACGAAATTAGGATTAATCGAGAGAGGACAAAATTATACGGCGCGTTGAGGTTAGGATACTCGCGCGCAGGCGAAAAGTGTACTCGTCCGCTCGTCGTACAGATGACGACATCTGTGAGTGATTAGGCGAAGTAAGACGCTACAAGCTTTGGCAGATCATTCTGCGATAGTGCGATTTATAATCAATATTTACTGTCAGTATCCTGACATTGAAGCTACTGGAGCCCTTACGTGGAAGAAAATCATACACGATCAACCGTGCAGCTCGCCGTTCCCCCCGCAGGCAGATATTCGCATTGTGATCATCGAGGACGAGGTAAACTGCACGCGCCAACTTGAAATTTGAAATTTTGAGCGCGCACCGCGTCCGGCTTCTCCCGCGTCTTTTACACGCAGATTTTTCACGTATTCGTTCGAATCTTTGCTGAGAATGTCGAATTAGACGCGTCTGATCATCGTAATTCGCTAGGAAGCACGGTAGAAAGCGCGCCCGACTGTCATTTCAGTCAAATTCAAATAGTTGACATTTCGAAGTATCTCGATTTCGAGATCTTGCGAGCCAAAACTCGGCCGCCATGACACTCTCGTCGAGTCGCCGGTGCATCGGTTCGGAGTCGGATCGCGGTCCGCAATTAATCGCGAATTTCGCCCGTTAAGAGTGCACGATGAGCACGAATTTCTATCGGGAGTGCCGACCGGAGTGACGGGCCATCGACAGAACGTATCGGTTAGCGCGGGCCCTCGCGATTAGTGTCGTTTCACCGATCGCGGCTCCGACGCTGCCGCTCCGCGTAACCGCCGTGCAGTCCCGGTGAGTGCAGATTCCGACGCCCATAGGCGTGCGAAAATCGCCCTTACGCTTTTCGAGAGAGACCCTAATATACCCTAAATAACACAATTATTTTTCAAACATTTAACAATCCTAGAACTTGACCTTCGTTTACTATCATTTAAATTGAAAATGGTTCTATGCTGTTTATATAAAATAGTAAAAATAGATCAGATGCAAAAGAGGGTCTGAAAAGTAAAGGCCGCCGTCTCTGCATCGAGTGTTCATTTGATACGTGTGCTTCGTGGAATTTGTACGGATACCGAGGTATATCGCACATTCGATTACATTCTTTCGGGTGATCGGTCTCGCTTTTCTTAACCGTCGACTTGACTCGCGTCGCGGCGTCGGCGTCGTCGTGTTCACGGTTTCGGAGTAAAGTTGCTATCGCGTCGTTTTCGGAACACGGATTAAAGATATACTGGCGGAGCTTTTTACAATCGAGTAGTGCCGCGACGTGTTTAATTAGCAATCACAGAGATCACAGTCTCTAATAACGTCGTACGTTTAACTTCTGTATTGAATCGTGTTATTTTGATATCGTGTAAATCGTGGGGGATATCAATATCGGTTTTGTCAATCGTGGGGGATAGCTAGAGTGTGTTCATAAATCGATGATTTATTCATTGGAGTTAGTCAAAATCGCGTGACAAGCTGCAAGTGTGGCGTTCTCGCGGCGGTTGCTCCTGGCGAGTGAAGTTGGCCGCGCGATTCGCGAAATTCTTTCCGCCATTTAGCGTCTACCTGCGGAACGTCGAGCGTCACGGGCGGCAAGCGGATCGTAATAGTTTCGTACGTATAGCTTCTCCGACGTAATTCTTTCGTCGCCGTGTAACAAAGTACGCGCCGCGTCGCGAGATTAATACCGGGAGTGCCGTGCAAAGTGTCGAAAGTATCGCGCGATCGCGTAAGCGACGATAACGTCGATTTTCGTGAACGTCGTGAGTGAGTGCGCCGATGGAGAGCGACAACGGAGGACCGAGGAGAGGAGGAGGAGGCCTGGGAGGCATCGGGCGACAGCGGGGCAACCGTGGAGTAAGTAATTATTCGTTACTATATTTATTTTACTGTCTGTACTCCTCTGTGGCGGATTCCGTCACTTTTTCAAGCGCGACTTGACTCGCTCATTATGTGTGGTACTCGTTACTTCGAGGTTTAACTCCGGCGCAATTTCGCAATTTCGGATTACTTATACGAGAAGAAATATTACGTCGCGAGCGTCGCGTCTTTCTCTTATTCGCACTGTCGTAAAATCAGATATCTGTTAAAATAATGTTTTCAAAATTTAACGGGCGCGATAATTAATTATTATTTTTAGTATCGATTATAGTATCTTAGACTCGTTGCTTTAATCTAAAAATATTTTTCTGTTACAGATCGACGGAGGGTTACGACTTATATAACTCCGCTGTTGCGCATCGGCACCGGTGAGTAATTTTTTTATTTTAATATCGAGGCATTTAAGAAGCACCATATTAACACATAACACTAACAATCGCGGCGGGAAGCTCTCGCATCAATGTAGCGAACCGGATAGGGCTAGGAAGAACAGCCGAAGGAAGGGAACTTTGCCATTTCGTTGTAAGCCGTCATTAACAGATACTTAGGATGCACGAGGAGGGCGCGGAAAGTAGACGACACGATGTACTCGCACCTGCGTGCACCATTAAAACGCACTATTAAATATTAACGGAGACCTTTATGAGGCCGTAATACGCTCAACGGCTCGTAGCTCGCTACTAGCGTCACTACCTTCGCCTCGAACAACGCTGAGGAACTCGAAATAGCTCCCGTTCATCGACGTGAACTTCCGACGCCTTCCTTGAAGCTGTCATAAGATCCGGTCCGCTGTTGCAAATACATAAGATAACCACGACCCGCGAAAATTAATGTTTCACTCGCGATCGTTGATTATTCAAAGCAATGTGCTACCTAAAATATATAACTTTCCAAAGAAATCGAAACTTTTTTGTAAAATATTAATAATTATTAATAATAATAATCGGTATTTGCTTCGTTTAGCAATCATCAGAAAAGAGATCTGTCTAGAAGTTTATGGACTTTGTAAATTCATTTTATGCGTTAAATCGCAGATTTTTCATTCAACTTTGTTGACACCGTTTGTTTATACTGTTTCGTCTTATTAAGCGAATTTGGCGAATAAAATCTAACGAGCCTAATCTCCGATGCACGATCAATTCGCGGAACAATTCGCCGCCAGCGGCTTTTCGAGGTACATTATCGCGAGGCCGCGGGATAAGCGCGATACGAGACACTTTAACGAAGAAAATGTAAAAGTTTTAACACGTTTCCGCGGCGGACATCGCGGTAAATAAAATTGAACAATTCTTCCAATCTGCCCTAGATTTTTATTACTCGCGGAAACTTCGAAGTCCACCTGCCTCCCCTCCCTCGCGAACTTCGGAAATCTCTTTGGAGAGACGGCAAGAGAGAGAAAGCGGGGGCACGAGTGCCCCCCGTACGGAAACTCGTCGGGAAAAGTCATTCCGCCCGTTTCTCCGCGGCGGTGGTAAGAAACGAGCCGCCCTGTCGGCGATGCCGTGGGGGGTGTGCGAAAGGGAAAAGTCCGCCCTCACCACCGCGGTATAAGCCGCCGTGCGTCGGCTCTCCGTATCGTTCGATAAGCTCCCGAGCCCTCGGCGGATTCGGTGCGGGCTTCCACACGGCACAAAGGCCTAATTACCCATAAATTCGCTGATTTACGGCGGTCTAGAAATGTAAATATGAAATATGAAAATGAGGACGGCGGTAATAAAAGTGATGTACGGTGCTCCGTAGGGTCGTTCATGAAGGCGTCCATCATCGTGCTTGACGGGCTTCTTTGTCTGGTAGCGGCAGTCGAGAGCCATTTCGCTCTCTCGCCTCTCGCCTCTCCCGCCTTTCCCCCGCGACTCTCTTTCGCGATTCCCTTTATCTCGCTCTTTCTCTCTATTTCTTTCTCTCGCTCTCTCTCTCGCTCTCTCTTGTCTACTCAACCCGTCTCCCTCCTTCCCCCACCCCTCTCTCACCGCCCTGCTTTCTCATCGGAGACGTCGACGGGAACATCCGCGCGATTCGCACGCGAATTTGGTTCTCTCACGGCGAGAAGGCACTTTGTCTTGCCTTTTGTAGCTGTCGTTTTGATTCACGGCAGCTAGTGATTCTTCTTTTCTTCCCGGCCGATGCCGGAAATGCTCGCGGCCGCGATGGAATTATCGACGCGAAAATTGTCGTTACAGTACCGACTGCCTCTAATTAACGTGGCTAACAATAAGTTAAGAACTGATCGCTTCTAGTGAATTTCTTTAGTAAGAAAGACGTGTGTATATTGTAGGATGAATAGCAACTTTTAATTATCATTTTCGCATCAGTCAGCTAAACAATTCATTGTGATACGTAAGATATTTATCCTTATAAGCACATAGTCGTAATTAGTTCCGTATAGATAGAATATTATTTTATGTAATTATCTTCTCTTTATTTTACTACAAAAAAGATTCGCTCGTTATTGCAATGCCGATTGAAATTATTAAAAATGTTATAATAAAGATTTATATTAATTAAGAAATAAATCGAAGAACGGTTATATGCTCATAATGACGGTTTCTAATGAGCACTTCACTCTCTGATCATCGGAATGCGTGAATGCACACATGAACCGGATCCGGTTCCTTCGAATGCGCATTTAAGTTGACAGTATTCGTTAGCAGTTACATTTCCCTACATAATTTGACTTTAATTAAAGCAGTCGTTGAAACGTCTGTTGACTCGAAGCAGCGTTTTATGAATTCATCGGGATTGCAACGTTTGCGCGCTATTCGCTCGACGTTATCCCGCTCTCGCGTTGATTCTTTTGCTACGCCATTTGTTGAAATGCAAACAACCTCTCCGAACATTTCGAAGACCGTTATGTGGATGAAAGAAATAGCAAATACGGTGGATTTTCCATTAGGCGCAATAGACGAGCACCTAGAGCTTCCATATTGTATGAGTTTTTTTTAATCAAGCTGCGCGCCCACTGACTGATTATTTTATTATTTATACGCAGAAATGTGTAAGTCACAAACGCAAAAAGCGATCTTTAATAACGTAGTCAATAATGGCGAATAATAATTTTTCATTAAGAAGGTAGATGATATCAATATCGTATAATATTCTAATAAAATAAATGAGCACTCGCTAATCGTTGTATCTCACAATCGGCTAAACGTCCCCTTAAATAGAAGAATTAATGTGTTGTAATTATCATGCAATTTTATGTA